CTTGAATGAGTGAAACATGATTTTTGAATGATACAAAAGTAAGTAGTTAAATGAATCATGATTTTTGAATGGTATACATATAGAGGATAAAAAAATAAAATTTAAAATATTATGTCTAAAATTATATTTGATAGAATTGTATAAATAAATTTAAAAAATTTTAAAAAAATTATAATAATTTTTATGATATTTTGTTAAAAAATATATTTTAGTCTATTTATATCATATCCTCATGATATTTGGTGCACTTCAAACACATGATAGGATAACATAATCCTATCACATTGCTAATCCAATGCACATCAAGATATGATATGTGTTTATCCTATCCATATCATATCCTATCCTTATCCAACTCTCTTATCCTATCCGTTCTTATCATATCCTGTCCACCAAACGAGCCCTTAGGGACCAATGCATGGAATTGAAATATTTTAAATACCAATCAATAGAATAAGCAAAATTTATTATAATATAATACGTAATGTGCATTATTTTTGGGTGTAAGAAAGTTGAGATTTTGTGTCTTTTCAAAAAAAATTATAATTTAATTTAGTGATTAACAAAATTTTAAAACTTGGGTTATCCCTTAATTATTATTTTAATACTTATATTAATTTACATTATCAAATAAAATAAGTTATATTCCTATGTTTTAGCAAATTAAACTGATCCTAAAGCACTCAAAAAGGGAGAACAATGGATCACAAGAACGCTATAGTTTATGGTTTACTAATCATCAATCTTTTCCAAAGAGTTCTTTTTTCATTAGATAAAAATTTAAATTAGAGAAGACATATCCTATATATAATTGGAAAAGATTACAAATTTTATTGATGAAAAGGAAAATCTAAGAATCAAACCAAAACCATATGATTGAAATTTAATTTTGCTATTTATGAGAGAATAATTGTATCTTGCAGAGTAAAAAAGACCTTATTAAATCTTGAAGAACAAAAATGATTAAAAACGGTACAAAAATGATCAAAAGCCTACAAAATTATCAAAAACAGATATCATGGAGCATGGAGAGCCACTAGAAAAATCATCGGAGGAGGAGGACATCCTGAAACACAGTAATAAACGAAATAAGGATCGTGGAAATCAATTTTTCCATGATGTATCAATGGTTCTTAAGGAGGAACCCTGGATGAGGGACCAAGAGGAGCATCAAACTTCATGGAAGGAAATGTTGTTACGTCATAATGGAGAGAAGGATGACTGGGAGGAAGATGCATGATACCTATGAAGAAGAAAACTTGCAGGGTGATCTGGCTGAAGAAGAAGACGTCAATTTTGGGGGCATAAAGATGAGGGAGGAAGAGGATGAGAGGACTCATTTTGGCTGCACGTTAAGAGGAAGAAGACGTTTGCATAGAGTGTGGAAGAAAGCATTAATTGTTAAGCTGCTGGGCAGATCAATAGGTGTTTCTTTCATGAAGAAAAAGACTGAGGCTTTATGGGCTAGGAAGGGAAGACTGATATTGGGAACGAGTTCTATGTGGTCCAGTTTAGTGATGATGAAGACATGGAATTTGCTCTTAATGAAAGCCCTTGGGTTGTCCTAGGTCACTATCTGTCTCTACGTAAATGGGAACCTGCTTCCAGGCCAAACACTGAGGGCATCTCAAAAATAGCAGCTTGGATCTGTCTCCCTGATATTCCATTGGAGTTTTATTATGAGGATTTCTTTCGTATGGTGGGTAACTAGATAAGAAAGCTGATAAAAATTGATAGCACTACAAACCTTCATGCCATGGGTCGCTTTGTAAGAATTTGTGTTGGACTAAATTTGGTTAAACCGTTGAAAGGAAAGTATGTTCTTGAGGAAATGTTGAAGCAAATTGAGTATGAAGGTCTAGGAATTATTTGTTTCAACTGTGGAAAGTATGGCCATAGTAAAGATTCCTGCTCTGATTTAGTGCAGCGAAAAATTGTGGCTAATGAAGCTCATCATAATGGAGATAGTGGAGAAGAAAAAATTGAAGAAAACCGTAACGGGCCTAGGCCTTGGATGGTGGTTAGCAGACAACGTCGTCCTAGAAGCCAAGCTGCTGTTCAGGAAGGCAGAACTCCGACAACAGCGAGGAGAATCATACGACGTGATTTCGGGGAGAATTCAGCGCAATCGAAGCAGTTATCAGTGCAATCATATCAGCCCATATTAAATGCGCCAACTACAAAAATGAGATATGATATTCTATCGAAAAATGGGGAATTGAGTCAAGTTGAGCTGGAGGTGATTAATGAGGGACCCAATCATGTGTATAAATCAAGCGCTATAATTGACCAAATGACCGTGGGGGAGGGAGCAATCATCGCAGAAAGTAAAGAATTCATTAATAATAGTATACAAGGAATTAATCGTAGAGATCTTTCGAGTCAACCTAGGATTGCATTGGAGGAACATGCAGATAGATTCATACTTATTAGGGGACCCTTAGATGATAGGTTAGTTACTAAAAGCAACCTTATGCCATCAAAGAAAGAAGAAATTCCCAAGAAGATAGGGCAACGTCAGCAAGTTGTTGCTAAAACTCAGAACCAGCTTTTGAAAACACCAACGTTGATTGGAGAGAGATAAGTTCATATGCATCCAGACCAAAACACAGAAATGGAAGTAGAACAAAATCTGGGAGACCACAATGGAGGTGCAAATGGTTTAAAAAAAATCCTAAAGCTCCATATCCTAATAGAGCTTTGGTCATTAACCAATTGGAGTTCTATAATATTATGCATCATATGGAGGTTGATAAAGTAGTTATTGATGAAGACAGTTTCGAGGAAGATAAGGGATCAGCAGGGAACCTAAACCTGCAACCTGTATGGTGAATTAATGTCTTTGATTGCTTGGAACTGCCGAGGTGCAGCAAAAAAAAAGGTTTATAGAAACCTTGACTAGTTTGATCTAGAAACACACAGTAGATTTGACTGCTATTTTTGAACCTCAAATAAGTGGTATGAAGGCTAAGAAGATTATAAGAAGGATAGGGTATAGTGGTTGTATGGTTGAAGAAGCTCAAGGTTTCATGGGAGGGATTCAGGTATTGTGGAGCATGGAGAATTGTCAAGTTACGGTTTTGGAAAAAACCATGCAAATGATTCATTTGAAGGTATGTTTCTCAAATAAGGTTGCTTTCATCTGCACCTTTATTTACGCTAATTCTAGAGAAGAGGTTAGACATAGCATCTGGCAAGATCTTCGTCGGATTGCAGATACTATAAATGAACCCTGACTAACTACTGGTGATTTTAATGAGATTTCTTCCCCTTTAGAGAAACGTGGACGTGCCCCAATAGAATTATATAAATGCAACATGTTTGCATCCCTCCTTACGGATTTGACGATGATTGATTTGGATAGTTCAGGATCTAAATTTACTTGGCGTGGTCCTCGTTTCCTGATTATAGATAGAGTATACAAAATGCTAGATCATGCTTGTAGCAATGATAGGTGGAGGGTCATCTTTGAGGAAGGCCATGTAAGAGCCCTTCCTAGATTAAATAGTGACCATAATCCTCTACTTATAACTTTGACCTCTTCCAAAGATGAGTGGAAGGAATGACCTTTCCGTTTTCATTCTTTTTTGGCAAGATGACAACCTTTTCAACCAATTTCTTATGGAGAATTGGAACGTGCATAGCAACATAGCTGATTGTTTGAAGATGCTTACCCTTTGCATTAAGGAGTGGAACGAGAAGGTTATTGGGAATATCAAGCATAGGAAGAACAAGTTGATGAGTAGACTAGAAGGTATCCAAAGAGCCATTTTTGAGCACAATAAAGATTACCTAGAGAAAGTGGAATGTGAGATCAAATCTGAGCTTGAAGAGGTACTTAGCCGAGAAGAGTTATTATGGTATGCAAAATCTCGAACGGAGTGGATCAACCAAAGTGATAGAAACACAAGATACTATCATACAAAGACTATTATCAGAAAGAAATGAGGAAAAGTTGTGGAACTTAAGCATAATGATGGAAGTTGGATTCGAGAAGAGGAAGGCATGGTAAAGAAGATTCATGATTTTTTCAGTAATCTCTTCAAGGATGAAGCCTGTCGTCGTGAGTGGATTAGTACTAGCTGGCCTATAGTGCATGATGATGTCATTGATAAATTAAGGGCAAATGTTACTAAGGAGGTGTTTGGTTCAAGTTTTCTTAAAGGATGCCTAGGCATTACACATTAGAATTTTGTGTGATCCATATTTGGTTCAAATTTTTTAAGAATATTGATAGCAAACCAACTTGCCTAACTTTTAGAATTGTTTGGAAAAAGTGATATAATGCACTATGCCAAAATGCCACTTTGAAGATGGTATTGCAAGATGAATGGCTAAATGGAGAAGTGGGAAACAAAAGCATGACAAAAATACCCTCCTATAATTTGGAGGAGAGATGTAAACATTCAAAAATTAAAAAAGGGTTAATTTGGTAATCATACCTCATTTTCCCATCAATATTTTATCTTTAACCAAACATAGACTAATAAAATCCTACCCAATTTTCCAGATAAAATTTTTGCCAACCAAACAACTTTTTTTAAATTTTTCCACTATATCCCTAGTAATTATATTTCCCTAATAAAAAAAAATTTCTCTTCTACCAAACGTCTCCTAAGAAGGAAGTTAGAAAAGCTTTTTTTCCAATGAAAGAATATAAAGCTTCAGGAGAGGATGGTTACATAGCTGCTTTTTATCTGGTATGTTTATCAAAATATTATCGTTGGGAAGTCAAGTTTGTTGTTTACTTTGCAGAAAAAAAATTTATTCCTGGACAAAACCAAAGCCCTTTTATAAAACATTGTGAGAGAATTTTTACTTTCAGTGATGTATTAGAAATTGAATTCTAAATATTTTTCAGGGGCAGGAACATTGTTCCGGTTCTGTCTCTATTTCGCAAATGTGATAGCATTGTAAACAGAACTGAACACAAACACAAACACGTACGAACACACCCCAAATTAAAAGCATACAAGAAAATATATAAAAGTTTCTCCAAATCCTTGAGCATAAAATAGTCTTGATCTATAGATCAAAAAGTAAAATCCCAAAGTTTAAATTAAATAAACAAACCCATGGAAGAGTCAGCAAAATGATAACTAGATAAAAAAGTGAAACCCCCAACAAATTACCAGCTTTGGTCTGGAGGTATATTAAGGTAACTTGGTTGGATCCACACCCCTTTAACGTGACGGATTTCAGTTTTTGTATTTACAAAAGTGATTGCACCTCGACTTCCCAAGAGAAAATATTTTGTATATCCATGAATGTTTTCACCTTGAATTGCAAAGCCATATTCACCACTAGAGCCTGTCATTAGCGTTCCGCATGTAGAAATTGAAACATTTGCCTCTAGTCCCAGTTTACTCTTTACATCCATATACTTCAACATGTTTCTTTGCATTTCATACCTCAATTCACCCACGGTAAATTTATACCAGCATTGAACTATCGCACGAGTCCTCCATACTTGGGTATTAGCATCAAAGGTAACTAAACCATCAAATCTATCAAAAAAATGAAATTTCCCTTGACCAAAGGCAGCAAAAGTTATTGTATGCAAACTGAATCCATTGCAAGAAAAATTGTGCTTGGCCCATATGCTATTCCCCCTGCAAAGCAAGTAGAGTTCTAATTCATAATCATTGCTTCGACTAATCACAACAAGAGTGCAATCTTGAGAAGTGGGAACAGATGAAAATGCCGCAATATGGTCAGATAATTCTGTGAAAGGACAGCTTGGAAGCTCTATTTTTGCTCTGGAAAAGGGGCAAAAGAAGAACATTGAACCATGTCGAAAGACAAGAAGCCATCCTTCATTGGATGCAAGGCAAGTTGCCCCATCTAGTTCCGGGATGTTGATGGTGTAGATTTTATCTTGGTTGCTTAGCAGGGAACACTGAGAACCTTCCCCATCATCATACAGAAGAAACCAAGGATCAGCTCCAGAACATTTATGCTTAGCTTTTGAAGAAGCATTGTGCCAATCTTTGCAAACACCACGGAAACACAGAAAATCAATCAGTCCTAGACCATCCGCAATTCGTATGAGCAGGTCTTCAGGCAGATTTGACCACTGCACTTTTTGCATTTTATTCTGCATCTGGTAGAATCATATCATATCATAGGTAAGAAAAAGAGAGAAGAATGAATATGTTATATATTAATGTTTTGTGAAGTGATACGAAATAGAAAACATTCATCCCTATTTAAATTAAATAAAAAATTCTTAAAATAAAGAAATAATTTAAAACTAATCCTCACAAATCCTCTGACACGCTCTAATTAGATGTTCCATGTATAATCTTAATATTACAAAGATATTCTAAAAATTCTAACACATTTGACTTCTTGCTATTCCAATTTGCTTCACGGAACTATGCAAATAGGTTTATTATATGTATACTGAAAATAGAAAATTAACAAAACTGACAGCAGCCTAAATCATTCGAGCACAAGACCACTCAACTCAAGTGAAACATGCATTTCTGATGCAAATTAATCAAACCTAACAAGAATAGATTGAGATTGGGAGAAGTAAAAATAGAAAAATAAAAAAATGAAGAGGTAAAATTAAATATTGACAATGTATTTGTAGAGGGATAGTAGTTTGCATACCATCTGCATTTTCTTAACCTTCTTCCTTCCCAAAACTGAAGCGCTAACCTTTTTCCCCTTCTTAACATTCTTCTTTCCACCTCTTGAGGAGGATCCTTCAGTGTTGCCCAGATCCTGTAAATCTGTATCTCCAGATACCATGCTTCCAGGAACTTTCTGGCTAAATAGTGGCCGCATGAATATGGGAGGTTGGTTTGCACGAAGGAGTGAGCTGCAGAAGAAGATAGAGTGAGAATCGAAACCCGTGAGGTCGAGGGCGAATACGATAAAAAAAACCCTAAAGATAGATTTTATACTCGTAATGGGAAATTAAAAAAACAATCCATTGTTGACACGCGGACATCCGGGTTAACACTTGACCCACCTGTCACGAAAATAAAACGTTTCAAATTTTTTAGACCAATGCAATATTTATTTATGAGAAAAGTGTGTGTGATTTAAAAGGAGACACAATTAGGTCATTTTAGGAGAGAGTTAGACACAATGTTATTAAAATCGATCCGGTCATTGACCTGGTCGAGGTACTGGGTACCTGGGTCACTGGTTCAACTGCATGACCCGGTAATTATATGCAATTTTATAATTTATATTAAAAAATTACAAACTTACTCAAATATCCGAAAAAAATGATAAAAATTTCAAATATTTTAATGTAAAAAGTAATAAATCACATATTATTATCTAATAAAAGATCAAACAAAAATATAATGATCGTGATACGGGACTTTAGGTTCAGAAAATGACATCTCTAACTATAAATTAATTCAAAATTTTCTGTATAGTACATACATAATTGAGATAATATTAGTGTTGTAAGTACATAACTTATGTAAGTCAATAAGCAAAAAAAAAATCAAATATGTCCATTATAAATTTTTTGAAAAAAAAATTTGGAATTTTTTTTTTTTTGGGACTAGACCAGGTCACCGATTTTTATGAAAACCGGCCGGGTCACACCGGTTCTGATACATGGCCGGTCCGTTGCTTCAACCAGACCGGTTAGATGACTGGTTTATCCGTTCCTGGGTCGACCCGGCCGGGTCGGTCCGAGTTTAATAACACTGGGTAGACATAAAGAGATGTGGGTCCCATTAAAAAAATAAAAATATGGATCCCACCTTTTTGTGTGTACCTCTCTCCTAAAATGACCTAAGTGTGTATCCTTTTAAAGTCACACACTTTTCTCTTTGTTTATATCATGAATTAACACGACGCGCATTTTGATAAGTTGTGTCTATAGCCAATTAGCGAGTCAAGACCTATATTGTTACCTCTATACGCAACCTTACCCTTACATATTTATAAAGAGATTACATATTTGCCATTATTTCTTTAAAAAAATGTCTCTAACAAATCAAAATGGGAAAGTGTGAAGAGTCACTCTAGGGTAAATAAATTTTGGAGATCAAATTTTCTAAGGAATAATATCACATGACGACTAAAATAAATTAGAAAAAAAAATCAAGAGCTCAAATGGGGTTTATCAATTTAAAATAGGCAAATGATGGTAATTCTATACACAATTTGTTTATTTCAAACAAATATGTAGCAAAAAAATATATTGAACAACGAATACCATGCTTAATTGTATAACCTTTCTTTTTTAATACGCTGAGGGGCAAAGTCCCAAGAAAACTAAGAAACTAAATAATTAGAGATGTGGGACACCAAAGGTCCCAACTGTAACAACCCGTTGTACACCGATATTGTTAACATTGATTGTGATATTAAGCACAGTTACAATCAGAACAATTTATTTATAAAAATGAGTCATTCAATCCCATTAATAATTGCATTGCATAGTCCTGTTGTTGGGTAGTTGATAAAATCCGAAGAACACCACAAGTGCAAGCAAGATTGGGAGAATAATCTTTGAGTTCATCCCAAATAATCTTCAATTTTGTGTAATAAGTGTTGACATCCAAACTCCCCTGATGCAACGAAGAGATTTGTTGTTTCAATTGAAATATATGTGGTTCATTGGCTTGATGAAATCGAACACGGAGGTCATCCCAGAGGTCATAAGCGGTGGAAAAATACATAAGGCTATCAGCAATCTCTTTGGATACAAAGTTGAGAAGCCATGAAATTACCATAGAGTTACATCGGGTCCAAGCAGCAAAGAAAAGATCAGAATTGTGAGGGCGAAGAAGACTTCCATCAACAAAACACACTTTGTTTCTGGCGGTAAGAGCAATGATCATTTCTCGACTCCGGGAATTGAAGTTCGGTCCATTGAGGGAATGAGTAACCAGAATGAGACCAGGATAATCACCATTCTGAAGATAGTAAGGACTTGCAGAGTCCTCCATGGAAGAAGAGGAGGAAACAACGTTAGATGTAGAAGAATTATATGAAATGAGGTTGGTATTTTTGCCACCACGAGCCATGGAGAAAGGCTCGGAGATCAAAAAAAGTCATCTGATACCATATTTGAAGAGAGAATTGGAAGAATCTGTAACAAATTTCATTCTGGCAAAAACTGAGTCATGTGTACAGAGAGCATTGCTCTTATATCAGCAAAACGTGCACTTACAGAAAGGAGAGAGAAAATAACAAACTGAGGTATGTGTGGCACATGAGCCAATAACTAATAACCTACACATCAATAACTAACTAAAAGAAAAATAATAAAATTGTTGTTGGGCTTCCTCCTTCAATGCTAAGCCCAAGCCCATTTGAGGGGTTTCCTAAAAACCCTAACCCTAATTTCCACCTCCTCTATATATACTCATTGTTGTGGGTGGAGGCTAGGTTAGATTTGAGAGGTCAAATTTGAGAGAACAAATTTGAGAGATTTATTTGATTGTTTGAGCAAAAGCTTTATGCTTTGCATTTGAGAGATCTCTAGAGAGAGTTTGAGTGAAACATCTCTAGGGTAGTTTGATTATCACCATTGTTGGAGAGGTTGAGTTAACCACCACATTGGTGTATTTGATTCGTTGTAACCATTATTTTCATAGTGGATTTCTGATCTGGACTAGGTCCCGTGGGTTTTTACTTCTTCATTCAAGAAGGTTTTCCCACGTTAAATCTGGTTGTGTTCTTCTTCTCTCTCTCCTATTTTCGTTTTGATTTTCCGCTGCGCTGCCTGACCTGGTGAAGTTCAGGCCGAGGTATTACCGAGATCCGAGATCAGGATCTTGTTGATTGACTTCCGCAAAAGGCCCCTGAGCCGATCTTGAGGGAACCGAGTTTTCCCAACAGTGGTATCAGAGCTCGAGTTCGACGGGTTCTGAGGGAGACGAGATGGAGACCAGTGGCATAAATCATGATGAAGATATGTTCAAGTTGACCGCAGATAATTTCACATATTGGAGACCGATGATGGAAGATCATCTCTACTGCAAAGATTTGTATGAGCCCATTATCCTTGATGAGAGACCAGCAGGCAAGACAGATAAGGAGTGGGAGATCCTGAGTCGGAAGACGGTAGCCACGATCAAGAAATATATTGATAAAAGACTCTTTGAGCACGTGTCCGAATTCACGAACGCGTATGAGTTGTGGACAAAGCTAGAGTCCATGATTCAGAAGAAGACTCCCAGGAACAAAGCACACCTGGTTCGCCGACTTGTTAAGCTTGAATACAAGGACGACATGAGCATGATTGAACACCTGAACACCTACAAAGGTATTGTGAATCAGCTGGTAAAGGCTGATATGAAAATTGATGAAGAACTGCAGGCATTGCTGCTGTTGAGCTCGCTGCCAGAAAGCTGGGATACTCTGGTGGTGACCCTGAATAACTCGACTCCAGATGGAAAATTGAAGATGGATGTCGTGACAGACAGCCTCCTGGGCGAAGAATCCAGGAGAAGAGAACGAGGTACTTCGAGTACGTCTGAGGCCAACGTTGCTGAGAACAAAGGGAAATTCGACTCCCGCGGTAGAAGCAAAAGCCGAGGTATAGGTCGTGACAGACGAGACAAGTCCAGAGGTCGGTCAAAGCCGAATAATGAGTTGAAGTGCTTTTACTGTGGAAAGACAGGCCATAAGAAGCTAGACTGCTGGACCCTACAGAATGATGAGAAGAATGACTCTGTGAAGCCAGATCAGATTGTTCCCAAGAAGAGGGAAGACAAGAGCACCACTGCGGTGGCTGCAAATCCTGATGCCGAGATATTCCTCCTTGGTGAGGATAATTATTTGAATGTTGCATATGATGACTGCACCTGGATTGTTGACTCCGGTGCCTCCTTCCACGTTACTCCACACAAAGGTTTTTTCTCCTCTTATCGAGGTGGTGACTTTGGAGTCGTGAAGATGGGAAATCAGGTGACCAGCAAGATTGTTAGTGTCGGTGATGTAACTCTGACCACAGATGTCGGATGCCGACTTGTGTTGAAGGATGTGAGGCATGTTCCTGACATGCGTTTGAACCTAATTTCGGTAGGCAAACTTGATGATGCCGGGTTAGTGAACTACTTCGGTAGTGTGAGATGGAAGCTGGCCAAGGGAAACTTGGTCGTGGCCCGAGGTAAGAAGGAAGGCTCCTTGTACGTGATGCAAGGAAAGATCAATGGCGGAGAAGACAATTCTGTCCGAGATGAACCTAGCTTGGAGCTATGGCACAAGCGCCTCGGCCACATGAGCGAGAAAGGGCTCCAGATCCTGAACAAGAAAGGATTACTGACTGGGTTGAAAGGCCAAGCGTTGGAGAGTTGCACGCACTGCCTAGCTGAAAAGCAACACCGGGTTTCCTTTGTGAGACCGGATCAACCAAGAAGACGAAGGAATATTCTTGACCTCGTCCATACTGATGTTTGCTCCATGTCGGAGAAATGTCTTGGAGGAGCTCAGTACTTTGTTTCATTTATTGATGATCATTCCCGCAAAGTGTGGGTATATTTGTTGAAGACTAAAGACCAGGTACTCCAATCCTTTAAAGAATTCCATGCGATGGTTGAAAGGGAGACTGGCAAGAATTTGAAGGTGGTCCGATCTGACAATGGTGGTGAGTATTGCGGCCCTTTTGATGCATATTGCAGAGCGGCCGGGATCCGACTGGAGAAGACGCCCCCCAAGACTCCACAGTTAAATGGACTGGCTGAGAGGATGAACAGAACAATTGAAGAGAAGGTACGAAGCATGATATCCAATGCCGGGTTACCGAAATCATTCTAGGGAGAAGTCGTCAAAACAGCTGTTGACTTGAACAACCTCTCACCATCACGGCCACTTGAAGGAGAAATTCCAGAAGAAGTCTAGACAGGTCGGAAAGCGGCCTACAATCAATTGAAAGT